GGTGGGGGGGGGGGGGTTACAATGTCAAAAGGTAAAAACGTCAATTTTGAAAATATTAAGGTCGAAATGTAATTAAGGAATATTTTGGGGCAAATCTGCATCGACTGGAAATATTGCCCCGCCAGTTAGGAAATTACTGTTATACCCTCATTCAAGTCCGTACTTCGGGAGGGTGGTATTTCCTATCGTCGAATTCAAAAATCTCGCGATTGCTTGAAGAGACAGATTTCAATTTTCTAAACTCGATTCAGGTATAAGAAAGTTTCTGATTCACTCGTGATTTTTGGGAAATCTTTGATCGAATCTTTTTTTTTCTCCAAGGGATTTTCGCTGTTCTTGATGCAGGAATAGCCTTTTTCTATGCTGATTTTGTGGTTTATATGCATGTCGATCTTATCGTCGAGTTCGAAATTTAATTTTTCGGGATATGGAATTATGCAGTCTTTCCCAGACGAGATAGAGAATGAAATTAAGAATTGGTGGATTGAATTTCGCTCATTTGGGGTAAGTATCTGGTTTTCCTCTTTGGGCTGGAGGAAGGGATTTCGTTTGTTTAGGCGGTAATAGAGATCACTCTTAGGTTTGGGATTTCTGGGTCTTGTGTTAACTTAGTGGGTTAGGACAGTGTACTAACTAAACCCTCGTGTAGACTTTTGATTGTTTGGTTTGGTCGAGAAGTAGATCCTCGGGTATAGATTTCACTTGCATCTGACGTCGTCCGGTGCGATTGTCCTGCATGAGAGGAGTGAGTTATAGTTCCGCTGATCTCACTTGCATTTGGCCAAAACAGAGATGTTTTTATTTAGAGGAATCACAAGCCAAAACCATCTAGGCGCCGTTGTCCTAATTGTGGGTCTGTGACTTTGATTGAATGGAAAAATGGTAAAAAGTGCAGGCGATCCTTACCCTATCGTCAAGGTTTGTTCAGATACAAGTTGCCAGAACATGAATTGCCATTCGCGGGATCTTTTCCTCGTCGTTAATACTATCGGGGATAGCCGTGTTTCCGTTCTTTGTTTTCAAGTGTCGAATTTTAAATAAGCAGCTAGTGCTTCCATTTCTCACAACGTATGAGTTTGGATAGTATAGCAGTGAGTGTGTTCTGTGCAAAGCAGAATTTGGTTCCATGACCACTGTCGCTAGTGTCATTAACTGAATCTGTTGAGTTTTCTATGCTATTGGGCTTAATTTTTTTTTTCCTGGTTCTAAGCTATGATATTTAATGAAATGCAGCAATGTTTCCATCCACTGTGTCCTGACAAGAAGCCAGTACAAGAACCATGAAGGGGGGTACATATACAACACAAATGAAGAGTGTAATACGAGGGCATGAGGTTCCCTTCAGCTCAGCTTCCTACACGGTCTTATCCCAAATATGTAATGCCCGGAATTCCTACTTGACGCCTCACATTTTAAAGGTAAATTGTCCTGTGATCCCAACAGTTTTCTGATGATCTACTCGTGGAATTGGTCGTGGGTTTGCTCGTTTGGTGGAATTTTTACGGCAGAAGGCGTTGCCATAGACAAAACCCTTCGGGATTCTCCATCAAAGTTCTCTCTTGGTTACTGTTTCTATAACTACACTCAGTGCACGTATTGGACATGAATGCTCACATATCTTTCAGGCATCATTTGCCGGGTGTAAGCTATTACGGAGGCTCTTGGTATGTATTGAAGAATTTATACGGCCGTATCTAACAAAAGGGTAGTTTTTGGGTTGTATCTTTGGTAACATATCTGTTAAGACCAAATTAGATTGAACCGGTTTCAAAACGAATATGAGGAGAGTAGAATTGAACTGAGTTGAAGTGTTCACTATAAATACCAAACGGGGGAAAAAATCCGCAAAATGTGAAGTATAAAAATCCGGTTTAAGCCCTGGTTATTAGAGTATACAATCGGTTTAAGCCGGTTTGATGTGGTTTACTTTGGTCGGGCACAAAAAGTTCTATAAAAAGCCACGTTCTTCAATAAGAAAAAAAATGTCACTAATTTATTTATGAATCTTCCAGATTTAGTACTTATTTCTAGGGTTAATTTATATGAACTGCTTAATTGGAAACCCTTCGTTCCATGCATTTTTCACTGTAAATTTTACAACCTAGCTATAATCTTATAGATGGAAATCAAGAAATGATACTGTGGCCAAAATTATAGTTGCAAAGGCTATGTACAAAATGTGCATGATTGTAGCTAGGGCCGAATAATTTCTAATTAAATACGAATTATAAAAACCAATCGAGTATGATTCTAAATATAAAGAATTTTATTAATCAAAATATAAGAATTTTATAGAAAACAAATTTTATTAATTGCAATATAATCGATTTGATTCTAAATTAAATTCGAATTGATATAATACTTCCAAAACAAAATAAAAAACTAAACTCTAAAACAACGAAACGGGAATGGGAAATGCAAGCCCTAATTGTCAATTTTATATGGAAAATAGAGTGAACTAAAATACAACCTTTCCGATTTGCGTGGGGATCATAATAAAATAAAGACGACGAAGGAAGAAGACCTCAACTTGCATAACAAACGGACAAAAAGGTTTTCTGGTCCTTTAAATGAAAAGTGATTAGCAACTAATCTCGGGTCAGTATCTTCTTAATTAAATAAATATAAATAATTATTATTATAATTCGTACGTGCCCTTAAAGCTTTTGTTAAATTAAAACAAGCGGCGAAAGGTTGTTTTGCCCTTTCAAATCAATTTCCTTCTCGCATAAATAACGGTGTCTATGCTTATTTGACCCCAACCAAAACTGTCTTTGAATCTTTGTGATTTTCCTAATTTGTATTTAAATACATAAAATCTCAAAATTTTATCAAATTTCTATTAAAATGATAAAAATATTGGATGGTAGTTGAAATATCGAGATTATCAATGTTATTATTATTTTAGAAAATATTTCAAATAATTAACATATCGATGCGAAAGAAAAAATTCATATATTTATTTGGTAGTTTTTATGGTGTGTTTTTACGATATTATAATTTTTCAAAAAAAAAATCCTAACTAATCCAAGAGTTAATTAGAGTAATTATTAATTAATCAAACGATTAATGTGGATAATATCATTAGATTAACTAAGGACTTGAAATGTCGGTGCAACGAAACCGCCCTTGGAATCGCCACGAGAGAAAACCACGGCAGCCGCCACAACTTTTTCTTCTTGCCTGATTCGATGCATCCTATTATTGGTTTCGTATCTTTCACTTTCATTTTCTTGTTGCTGTTTTTTTCGTTTTTAATATTTATTTACATAAAAATTAAGTTTCAACTCATATTTTATTTTTCTTTTTTACCAACGTTTTAAAATCAAAGTTTCATCAAGAAATACTTTTTTACTAGTAGATATAGATTTCAGGGATATAAAAAATATCTAATATATAAAGATTGTAAAAAATAAAACAATTATAGAGATTGGCACTTAGTAATAGGGTTTTCGGTTCGGTTTTTCGGAACCGGACCGAACCGAACCGTTAAAACGGTATTTTTTCCGATCCGAAACCGTTGTTATTTTCCGATTGGTATCATTTTTAGAGAACCGAATTTTTCCGAAACCGAACCAAACTTTAAAAATCCCGAAAAACCGAATATTTTTAAAGGAAATATATCATTTTTGTAATAAAATCCGGAATCGAACCGAACCGAACCGAATACAATAAAAAATCCGATTGGTACCTATTTTTATAAAACCGAAAGAACTGAACCGATTTATTACGTCCCGAACCCAAACCGTTTCCCGAAACGCCCACCCCTATTTAGTAACATATCCCAAAATCATTTGAATAATAAAACAATGACATTGATATCGAAAGATATTGTTACAATGCATCTATTGATACATACGATTCTAATATGCCACATCGGATCAAGAAATGAGAATATGTGGGACCCGAATAATCAATATTTTTGGATAAGAAGAAAGTCAAGATCATGATTTATGACCTCAACTTAAAAAAATAAAAAATAAAAAAGAGAAAAGGGGAAAGTCAAGGTCCTTGTGCTTTGTGATGCACCAACTTTTTATATAAAACCCAAATACTATGAATTTGGCATGTAAATCTGCTATCCATTTATTTGATTTTATCCGTATTCACACATTGTTTGAATGTTGTAGAGGAAATGAAGAACACAAAAAGGCCGTACATTCAAATAGGGGCTTTGAATTGAATGATTACCGATAGAGAATAATCTAGAGATTTGAATTGAATTGGCCCGCAACGAAAATTAAGTATAAAATGATTGGTTTAAATATTGATTTTGTTGTAATTTGTAAAGATCGAAATCAAATCATGTTTTATTCAAATAGGACTTTGGTAGAATCGATTTATTATCAATTCAAATAAATAACTATACTATTTGTTTCGATTTTATCGGATAAATCCTGTTCTGTGTTAATTCATTTTTTTTTACGTCTAAATATATTATTCGGTAGTTTTATTTTACGGGAAAAAATATTTTATGATGTGAAAACTCTCATTGTTGTTTTTTTTAATTGCATCGTGCATCAACCCAAAGACAATAAATGATCCAAGGACACGTTTTAACATTTTTTATATATTAATTTTTTATATTTATTGACTCTCAATGAATGAATGAGTGGGAGACACTTTCTTTTATTTTAATTAATGCGCTACTAAAAATAAAATGGAATAAATATAAGCTGCGTAATCGATCATTAAAATATAGTTGATTATTTGAAATATATTTTATTTTTGTATCATCCAATTAGTCTATAAACTAGACTATATATTACAAAACAATATAGAATATATTTGTAAAACGATTTATCATATGTTGAAATTGAGACAAAAAATAATAATATATCACTCTAATATAATACATTACATATCACTCTAAAAACACAGAATAAAAAGCGACTGCTCGAAAATTAGCAATACTGATAAAATCAAATATACCAAATAGTACGACTTATGTTTTAGACAACAATTATGCATCAGCTAAATATATTTTAAAATCTTCAACATATTTATATCGTGTTTTTTAAACAATTAATAATCTATAAACAGTATATGATATAGATGATGTATTAACGCATATGTTATATAAAATTTTGACAAATTGCTTATACCCAAAGAACGGGGAAATGATGTTTTCATAAGTTTTGGCGACTCCGTGTTTTGGTCAACTGGATCATGTTCTGACTCGAAATGATGACGTCACGCATCTCACATCAGTCCCGAATGGCATTTCCGGTAATAAAACACAAATCCAAGGGTTTTCTTGGGACACTATGCTCATATATACGCGTCCAGTTGTGTCAGATCTCGTGTTCCTCTGCCCGGTTTTGACCATCTCCCCTGGTATCTCGACCATCTTCTCGTTCGTTCATCGTCTTGTAAGGGCAAACAAAAAGCAGATCTTTGGCTTCAGACCCAACAATCCGAGGTAGTGTTTGTGTTTTTAACATCAATCATCTTGAAAAATGAGTGCTTTCTGGTTTCTTGAACTGAGATTCGTTCAAAAGTTTCTTTTTTTTGCTGCCGTTGCTTTTTTTTTTGTTGTCCCTGTTTTGAGTTAGTTTCCATGGCAGCTGCAAGAGTTTCGAAAATCTTATTCGAAGACAAGAAATCTGCTATCTTGTCGAGATTCTTGGGATTAACTGCTGTGTCACCCTTGTCTGATCTTTGAGTCATGTCTGAATTTCGATTAAAAACCTGCAAATCTTTAGCTGAGTAGTTTCACTGTGCGTGGGTGGGTGTTTTTAAGACATGTCTTACTGTAATTTCTTCACCAGGAATCCAGAAATCCGATCTCCGCGAAAATAAACGGTCAACCAAAGAATATGCTTAGTGGATGTGTTTGAATCAATTCTATGTGCATATAAATCCAAAGTTTGGTCGTTGAATATCTCAGATTTCGGATTCTGCGGAAGAGATGAGCCTCGTGTACGATCACGATTTCAAGTGCCCAGAAGCAGATTTCAGAAAGAATCAAGATTTCATGGATCCTTATTACCCAAATCATCGACAAGAACAGCTCATTCACACCAATGGTTCACCTCGTCACTGGTCAACTCCAAGCAATTTCTCCGACGACACCTTCAAAAACGGCGGCGTCAATGACAACTGCGAGGGCGGTTACAGGCCTTTCCAGCCTTCAAGCCCCCAAATGGACAGTTTCTTTGCAGAGGTCATTAAGACAGAGCATAAGAAAGAGGCAATAACGCAACAGAGCAGCAATCTTGGTATGCAGGACAGTTCGTTTGGTTTCATGAACAATGGTGGTCTCGAAACCCGAATGCAGGCCAAACGTGTTCATGATAGTTTCAGAGGGTCTGGCCTTGTGAAGCAACATAGCTCCCCTCCTGGTTTATTGTCCAATCTGATGATGGAAAACGGTAAAGATCAGTGACAGAATTCATTTTGATGAATCTGCGTTTTGTGGTTATACTCATTCTGTCTTAATGTGTCACAGAGTTTAGTTTCACCAGCGATTTTCGGGATCTCAAGAACTCGAAGGATGTTCATGGAGAAGCTAGTTCTTCGAAGAAAGTAGCAAACAATCATATGGATTTGGAACATAGACCACAATTGTCAAGATCAAGCATCATGCCTCATCAGGTTTCAGACATTGGAATTGACTTCTCGAGCGATTCTTGGGACAAGACCTCTTTCAATGTCTTTAAAGGAACTGGAGGCACTAATATTACGTTTTCGGGTTCCGAAACTCAGGTAAAACACCATTCTGGTTCATCTTGTTTCTGTTTCCATGGAAGCTTGTTTCATCACTGATCACGACGGTGTGACGGTTTATCAGAATGAGAATTCACGGAACAGATTGGTTCACCATTTGAGCCAACCGATAACTTTCTCCGAGAAGGATACAGTGGAGAAGTTCTTGCATTTTCAAGAGACCACGGTTCCCTTCAAAGTTCGGGCCAAACGAGGCTTTGCCACCCACCCACGAAGCATCGCTGAAAGGGTAAATGTTCATCAGATCATTCACTTTGTAACGTATAACGTGTTATCCATGGATCCAACTAGGCTCTGATATCATGACAGAATTGCCAAATAATAGCTCGTATTTTCCATTGGACGAACCGACGTATGTATACACACGAGAGCTTGAGTCTAATAAGGAAACTAACAAGTATTTACATATCGTGTGTATATAGCTGTAATATTTGATTGTGAATTTCAGGTGCGAAGAAACCGGATTAGCCAACGGATGAAAAGGCTTCAAGACCTTTTCCCGGATATGGACAAAGTATGGATCTTTCTCTCAATATATGTGAATCCGAATCTTTTTCCTCAAGCAAAGTGATTTAGAGAATTTAGGCTCATTCTTGTTTAGAATGTCTTCAAGATTCACAAGTCCAAGTGAAACTATGGTTGAAAAAGCGGATAATTCACTTCGTCGGACGTATTTACGATCAACCGTTTTAGCTAATTTTTCGTGGTATTTTACATTTTCTGGCAGCAAACGAGCACGGCGGATATGTTAGATATGGCAGTCGATCACATTAAAGAACTTCAGAAGCAAGTAAAGGTCAGTGTTTTTGCTCAAACATTGAAGCCTGACTATCAACATCAAAGATTCGGTGGTACGACCTTTTGACATCCAAATCGACATGAACCCTAAAACCAACCCAAACCCAAGTGTGTTTTTCCTGTTTTATCAGGTAAAGTTCATGACTTTTTTTTTTTTTTTGATTCAGGATCTAAATGAATCAAGGGGCAAATGTAGATGTTCTGGTAAAGGAAAAGCATAACGGAGTGTATGGTTGTTCTTGATCTGTTCCTTTTGATGTTATAGTGTAAGAGGAGATGCCAATTCTCTGTCTAGCTTGGTACCTGTGTATATGGAGATTGATCAAGTTGTTCGTCATTGCTGTATCTGCTTATGAAATAAATAAAGTATCTGATTTTCCTAGTATCTCAACTTGGGCTCGTTTCTAAGTAAATTTGATCCCAAGGCTCGGGTTAGGATGCGACTTTTAAGATACATAACGGGTTCGAGTACCTACAAATCTTGGGGTATCCGATCCTGCCCAGTCGGTTACGCGAGAGGGCGACAAACTGGTATCGACGCAAGGCGAAGGAAACAGAAGGGGGTGAGGAGATTATCAGCCAGCGACGTCGACACACAAGCGAGCGGCGTCATACACGCTAAAATATCTCACATTTGGAATGTGTTTTCCTTGGTAGAAGCAGATCAATTGCTTTTGCTACTGTTTGGGGCAACTGATCAAGAACTCCAAATGCATATGCATAGATGAATTCGGAAAGTGACAAAGATTATCATTGCTCAGGAAGTTGTGAAATGGGAAGAAGAGGAAGGGACAAAGGAGTCAAAGAAGGAGTAATTAAAGGGAAAGTGAATCGGACAATCAAGAGATGCAGAACATCATGAGCTCACTGGTGTCCAGCAGCAGGGTCAGGGACAAATCTGCAAGGCAATTACGCAAAGAGATTCAGTGCAAATAAGCTTGTATGCATATGACTGACATACACTATAGAATGGGTGTAAGTACTTGATGTGATGAGTAGCTCAGGAAGCAACTCGACGAGCTCGCCTCCCGGTAGGCTTTCCCATAAACTTAGAGCACAAGAGGCCAAAAGCAAAGACGAGTGGCCACACCGATATCTTGATCGGGCTATCTCGGTGTCCGTTTATAAAACTATAGTTCACTGCTGTCACGATTAACTGACCAGAGGCACAGAAAAAGGAAACAACATCCACAAACCCACAGGGAAAACGAGCAACGGAGTTAACCCTTTGTTGTGCTCGACCTCTGTAAATGAGTTCAGCGATGATTAAGACAAGAGATACGACTGACATAACCAGTGCAGCGAGTGCGAATAAGGGCTTGTGGACGGAAGAGAGCTGGTCTGCGACAGCTGATGGAATCTCCAGGATGAAGTTGGTCACGACTAAAGCCGCTTCTACTGAAAGCTGTTTGCAGGACAAACAAAGGTCAGAAATTTGATTACTCTTTGTCTCCTGATGGGATTGTCTCCTGTTGTTAGTTCTGTCAGGTACCTTAGGAGATTTCAGTTTATTCTCTATGTCTAGAACAACTCGCTCCACGAGCTCTGACTCTGGCCTGATCAAAGTGTTGGATGTGTGACTCAAGAAGATGAAGTTGCAGAACAAACAGCTATGGCTGAATGTTTGATTTCAAATCTTGTAACTTGTCTTAGGACAGTTACTAAGTTTTGAGAGTTGAGAGTTCATCACGTTTGTTGTAATACACAATGCACTTACCTTGTGTTAGTTGAATTCCACCCGGCAATGTTAGCTATTTCTGTTAAAGCAACTCTCCATCTCTGAACCTTCTCCTCCTCGTAACGCAGCTCGTGCTGATCAAATGCCCCTCCAAACCTTCCGGTCAGCTCTCTCACATCCCACGGGTCAACGTTGTGGAACACGGGTACGACAACCTGACCGTACTTGTCCCTGTCCTTGAGAATTCCCTCGAGTTGCTCCAAGCACCATGGCTGAGCTGCGAAGTTCTTGGAGAGAATGACCACCAAAACCCTTGACTCTTCTATTGCCCGGAGAAGTTGGTAAGGGACAGCTTCGGATCCTCTCTCAAGATCGTCCTCTTCATAAATTCTGATCCCCTGCCTTCGGAGGGCGGATTTCAGATGGCTGAGAAAGTTTTCGCGAATGTCCAAAGCCCTGTGGCAGATGAAAACATCGTACTTGAAGCCCATTAATCAGATACTTGGGGGATGGCGTTCTTGAAAACTCTTTCCAGGTTTCTTCTTCCTCTCCTTTCCAACAACTTGTGATCACTTTCTCATCAAGTTTCTCGCACATTGATGAACAGAAAGTCAACTTGGAATTTGCAATTAGTATAAAGCAACTTGCACCTTCTTAGAATAGAAGTGCCATGCCGCAAAGAGATGGAAACCCGAATACACCCATGAACTTCTTCATGAATGAACGCAATACAAAACCGAAGTAATATATAGGCACCGAATGCGTATAATTTTTTTAAAACCAATCCAAATCGCGTCCAAATTAAATATTAAAATAATTGAAAAGTTCTTTGGAAAAAAAAACTTTTTATTCATAAAAAAAGAAAGAAATAGAGCTAATGTAATAACCAAATAGATACGTTTCTTTAAAATTGACAAATCTAAACCCGAAAATACATTGGAAACGAAAATCGAAATAGACATCCTATTTATACTCACTGGTGGGTTTGGTGACCGGTTATTGCTATCAATTTTATCTTGTAACAGAAAACACTAACCTGGAACTCTTCATAGGTTTTTCGAAACCCAAGTGTGTCTTTCCTTTTTCATCGCGTAAAGTTCATGACTTTTTGTCTCTCTCTTTTGGGGTAATTCTGAATGTTCTAAAACTTTCGGGGTCATTTTGTAAGATACTACAAGTGCACAGCTAAAACGCAAGCGCACTCGCTTCATCTGGTCAACCATTTTGATTTTTTTTTTCCTTCTTCCTCTCTTATAAATGGAATTTGAGAGAGAGATGGTGTGATCATGTCATGAAAGCTGATAAGAGCTCAAACATCGTACATATTTCTGCTCTCAACCAAAGCCCTTTCTCTATAAAGCTTCAAGAAGCACAAAACCTCTTTTATGTTGCACTCTACTCCACTAGTAGTTGAGAGGCCAACCCCATTGCTCTGTAACTGAACTTAGTCTTATTGACCCAATCATGTATGTCACTCAAAAAATCGGTTGGAAACTAACCATTTGTCGGTTTTCTTAGTTGCCCTTTGTGCTTCATATTTCACCGGGAAGCTCCTGCGGCTGCCCGTCTCTCATACTCACCTTGCTCTTCCTTGCTGAATTCCTCCAGCAGTTCCCGTTGTCTCGGAGTTATGTTTCTGTCCAGAACAACAAGGCAAATTCATCATAACGTCAACCATTTATTAGGATTACAATATCTAGTATAACAATACCAAAATATCAGAAAATGAAGCAACTGATTTAACGTGGAAAGCCCCCACATTTGAATCATGGGACCGTAATCCCACAAAACATGCACATCAATCGGATTATCGAGCACTTATGTAGATATCTTGAACACTAGGACAACAGATAACAATTCCGGAGCATAAAGAGTAGCATATGGTTATCGAGCACTTACGTAGGGATGCTGACGTTGAAATGCACATACTGATCCCCGAATCTAGACGATTTTCTCTGTCTTATACCTGTAACTCGGGCAAGAGCGTGAGATTCTAGAGATCCATTCAATAAGAAAACTACCGACCAATGGATTCTTGGATTTCTGTGCAGTGAACTTCTCGTTTTGTTTTCCTCGGAATTTATTTGGTAATTTGCTCAAGTTTCTCTCTTCTTTCGGGTATATTTTGCTTAGCTCAACTATCAATGTAAGCTAAAGTTCTCACCTTTATTCTTCAAAACTACTTTCTGACCGGGTTGGGTTCCGGGGCGAACCTGCAACAAGAGAGTTTCAATCTCAGCCAGCACAAACCAAAGCTGAACCTTTCTAAAAGCACAATAGGAATACCAAACATATATGCTTCATTGGCTGGTTGATGAAAGCTTACAACTTTCAATACGAGAATTTAGGAAGTTCACTAAACAAGATATTCTCCGACTTCCACTGGGAGCTCGGAAACTGTGGTTTCATTAGTGAAGTTTTGTGATTTACAGCCGTTGACTAGATCCACCGGTAAATCTTATAAATGGTAAGAAGGAAAAAGCTAACAAACCTTCACCACTACATTGCCAGTGAGGGTCGGTACTTGGACGGTTCCTCCAAGAATGGCCTGATCGGAACAAGTATATACTCAGGGGATATAAGGACCAACAAACAGAAGCATAAACTTTCTTTCACAAACAGTAAACATCCTGAAGTCTTCATGAGACAGCAAGGATAAGGATGAGCAGTTATATTACCTGGGTGACACTTAGAACAGAGTGCACATGGATATCTGCTCCATCTCTACGGAAAACTGGATCTTCACGAACCTGAAAAAGGATTATGGCAGGAGTTATCGAGAACTTAGTGAGACAATTCACCATAAATGTCCACCAAAAAAGTTGATTTCAATCAGGTAACCTTGATAATAACATGAAGATCTCCAGGTTGATCTCCGTCAGGATCAGCTCCACCGGACCTCAAAACCTTTATTGTTTCGTTATTGTCCACTCCTGAAAGACAAAACCAATGTGGGAACAACATTCAAATGCCTAAAGGATTTCAAGACAGTTTCATATAATTCTTTGAGTTACCACATGATATGCAAAATGAGATTACCTGGATCAATATTCACTTTGACGATCTTCTGTCCTCGAACTACTCTAGCCCCTCTACATGTTTTGCAAATGCTCTAGTAACATCAACACAAGAAATAGATGACCAATTGAGTTGACTCTACCAACCTGGTTAAGCATCATATGTTTGGCATGATACAGACATAAGCAGCCATGTTCTCACATAGACAAAGATACGGAAAATATAAAAGCATGAAATAAGAAGATGCAATTATCATATAGACGGCATACTGAGAAAGTTTGACCAGCTCCACCACACTTATGACAAGTTTTTTGGATGCTTAATAGACCCCTTCTCATTGTTGTCTGAAAAAAGAGCAGTAACACACATAAGTCGGAGAAAAATGCATAACTACAATGCTCAACAATTCAAAGTTCGTCAAACGGATACTGACCATTCCTAAACCATTACAAGCTATGCATTTTTCACGTTTCGTACCAGGAGGAACGCCTTGTCCACCTGATCAGAACATAAAACAACAACGTGTAAGCGTAGCTGAGACAATAAGAAAAATAAGCATTCTGATGACCAGAATATACAGCAACATACTCAATATGAGAGAGAATATGTATCATATCAGAATGATAAGCTTCAAAATCGGTTTTCCTATTCAAAATGATTCACAAAACTAGCCTCGTTATTAAATTTTCATGGTTAAATTTCAACATATCTGCCTGAGTTAGACTATATGAAATTCCAACATGGTCCAGATCTCCTTTCTAGTAAAAGTAAGCATACCACAAGCATTACAAGCCACGTCGGTTTGAAATGTAATAGTTTTGGAGCATCCCTGAACAGCTTCCATGAAAGATAGTTCAACCGCTACCTGACAAATAGAAAGACGAAAATACATAAATTTTTTTACTTGAAGCACAGAGAAGATCCCAGAGAAAATAAGTAGATTATATTACCTTGACATCTTGACCTCCAATATCTTGTCTGAACATGTTGAATATCTGATAACAGTGGAGTAAAAGTGGAAGCATGGGCGTTAAAAGGTCAAGTCAATTGAAAGAAGAAAACATTTTGGGCAACATTTACCAACGCATCAATGGACGTGAAGGCTTCCTAATCAGAATTTTCTTTTTCCAGAAGGAAAAATAAAAGGAAGAGCACAGAAAGAGGTTATTACATCACCACTGAAGTTCCCAAAGATGTCGAATGGGTTAAACCCACCACCGAAACCCGAATCATTCGAAAAACCACCTGCAGCATTTTGTTCGAAAGCTTCAGGCCCAACCTACATAAAAACACCAAACTTCAATCATATCTGAAAAGAAAATCCGAAAAGGACATGAAAACATATCATCCCTGCTATGCCAAAATCCAAGGAAAGCTACCAAGCCAGGTACCTGATCATAAAGCTCACGCTTCTCCTTATCTTTTAAAACCTGAAAAACACCAAAACCTCAAATTAACTCAATATGTAAATGCATAGTATATATCACGATGCTCTTAGAATCTGGGTTACAAAACTCACTTCATATGCTTTTGAGACCTCCTGGAACTTCTTCTCAGCTTCTGGGTCATCTTTATTCATGTCAGGATGGAGTTGCTTTGCAAGCTGGAAAAATATACGAATAATATCACCACAAGCAAACAAAATTTAAATAATCGTTAACATAGATGGACGATCAGAACTGTAGAATTGGATCCATACCGCATAATAGGCTTTCTTTATTTCCCCATCTGTGGCATTCTTGCTCACTCCAAGTACTTCATAAAAATCCCGGGCGGCCATAAACGATGGGCCTAGTGTTTGAAATGGCAAGATATCAAAAGCAAGTACTTTGAAGCGATACTCAAAGACAGGACCTAAGAATTGGAATCTCCAAGCCTACCAGTCCCATGAATCGACCTTGTTGAACCCAAATGAGCGTTAAGAGTTCCAAAAACCATCCTTTTGCGATCATTTCCTACATTAAAAAAAAAAAGACTAAAGAACTCAAATCCTGTATAAGGTTCATGAATATAGATCGAAATGTTTCCATTTCACGAAGAAAGCACCAGTTTTTGTAGCGTAATTCCCGATCACACTAACGGGGTTGCAGATACCCGCATTGAATCTCCGACAGCCCCCTCCAAAGACTTGCCTCGGAATCTGAAGAACCCCAAAAGACACGTAAAAAGCAGGCCATGATCAATCAATTCGCAGAACAACCAAGAATTTTAATTAAACAAAGGAGAGAAGGGAACTCGCCAGATTTCCCGATTCTTCGAGAAGCCTTGAGGAGAGAGATCGACGAGCCAACAATCGAAGGACCTTCACGCCATTGACGGGGATCATTTTCGCGCGCTCTCGAGCTTCAATCTCCAATCTCTGCTCTGTTTCTGGAACTTTCTTCTTATTTCTCAGGCAGAAGCTTCGACCCGACCCGACTCGGCCCCAAAGTCATCCGTCTCTGTCTCGCCCTCTTGAACGGGAAATACATAGATATCCGAAAAATGTCGCAGAAATTTTAAGACCGTTCGTGAAAAACATGTCGAATTTTTATACTGTACCCACAATTTTTGTAATATTAATTCAAAAGTACATATCGACAACGGACAATATGATTATTACGTTTTTTTAAATACATCCAAAATAAATATGATGCATTCTTTTAAATTTGTTTCACGTTTTTAAAATTTTTATTTTTAAAACACCGTTTTATTTGTATTTTAAAATCGTTTAGTATAAATTAATTGAACCAAAATTAATTCTAAAATATAAATAGGGTTTGGAATCCGTATGCATTTGCGAGTGTGAAAGGTTTTGCTGCTTCTTTTTCTTCCTCTCGAGACTCCACGAGATCTTTTTTTTTGGCCAGTGTCTCCCTTGCTCCTCCGCATCTCCGGTGAGTCAACCCTCTAATCTCTTCCCCTAGTTTATTGTTTGCATTCGAACTTCTAGTTTCGAGATTTTGCTTCTTCCTGACGCGACATGACATTAAACCTCTCACTCTTGATCTGCTGTTAGCTATATAATCTTGGATGGTTTTTTCTGAATTTGCCTGGATCTGACACAAAAATGAAAAAAGCGAGTGGCTTTTTGTGATACTGCTTGTGGGTTTTTGGAATTTCGTTGAACAAGCTTCAATAATGTGTCTTAGCTCTTTAGCCATCAAGTTACGGAGATTGGCTCTTAATCAGTGAGTTCGTTGATGTATAGGGAAAAAGGTAGTAGCTTTTCTAGAGGAGATTGAGAATTGAAGCCCAAAAGGAAGAAGTTCATGACCGTCAATCGGGTTGGGCATAGAACTCATGGAGCTCGTCGGTGATCAATTCTAGGGTTTCTTCATTTAAGGGTTTAGGGGACAATGCGGTGGTTACTGTTTTGTAGGACAAGTTTCTCTCAATCGCTGTATAAACGCCGAGGAGGATTTGATTTCCAGCAGAAATTCGGTTTGGTTAACGTTAAGTTGAAATGGGTGAAAGATAAGGAACTTGATTCTGTTGTGGCCCGTGAGAAGTATCTTAGAGCAGTGTGTAATCTTGTCTCGATCATCTCTTCTGCACCTGGTTCTCGATTACCCGTCTTCCACCTCAACCGGCATCGTGGCCAGCTAGTTCTGCCTGAAGATCTTAAGCTCGCTTCGTTTATCAGGAGATACCCCAACATCTTTGTGGAGTACGACTATCGTGATAGTGCAGGTACTCGGGTTCCTACTTTTGGTTTGACCCCTGAAGCTCGGGATCTTTACCATGAAGAAGTTAACGTGCTTCGGCTGAATCAAGAGGATATTCTCGAGAGGCTGTGCAAGCTTCTTATGCTCACGAGTGAAAGAACACTTCCTCTGCACTCTATTGACCAGTTAAAATGGGATCTTGGCTTGCCATACGATTATCAAGATTCCTTGATCCCGAATCACCCAGAGTTATTTATTTTGATCAAGTTATCCACCGATCTTGTTGGTTTGAGACTGGTATCGTGGGATGAACGCCTTGCGGTTTCCAAGTTACAAAGGAATGCTACTTGGCAGCAAACGAGAGAAGACTTGAGAAATAATCGGTTGGCCTTCCCAGTTAAATTTACCAGAGGCTATGGATTGAAAAGGAAGTGCATGGAGTGGCTCCAAGAATGGCAGACACTTCCTTACACATCACCTTATGTCAATGCTTCCCATTTGGATCCACGGACTGATGTATCAGAGAAGAGAAACGTCGGAGTTTTTCACGAGCTTCTTCATTTAACGCTGGGGAAGAAGACGGAGAGAAAGAACGTGAGCAATCTTCGTAAAGCGTTCGCCCTTCCCCAGAAGTTCACAAAAGTGTTTGAGCGCCACCCAGGTATTTTCTACATTTCTATGAAGTGTGATACACAGACAGTGATCCTTAAAGAAGCATATGAGAAAGGACAACTCCTGGAAAAACACCCACTTGTCGGAATCAGGGAAAAATTCTCGAGCATGATGAACGAAGGGTTTCTGGATAGAAGCAGGGGACTGTACAAGAGATCTTCAGACAGTGATTTCGAAAGAAGCCGTGTAAAGATTGATCATCGAGTATCATCAGGAGAAGAATCAGATGGTTATCTGTTATCTGATAACGACTCTGATGATCCCATTGTTGATCCATCCTGAGTTATTCCCGAGCCGTTTGACTGTACAATCCAAACTCCGAGGATTTCATTGGGTCTTCGACCTCTCAAACATGAATTTCCTCAGATTCTTCAGGGTTGAAATATCATCGTAATGGAGGGGAACCGGGAATCGGTCTATAGAATGCCTATAACCAATCTGCAATTTTTGTCGGATATCGATCAACTATGCAAAATAAACCGAGTTTTGGCATGCCGGATTCATGCTTGAGGACTTTGAACCATTGGATTTGGAACGTCGATAACTCAAAGACTCGACTCAGACGAGATTTATGGCGCAGTTTGAGTTACAGAGGATATGTGGACAGAGGAAGGAAAGTGGATGTGGTATTTGAAGTGCCGCCATTGATGGAAGTTTCAACAAGCTCTGGATTTTGGATCCCGGTTTGGTTCTCTGAGTTGTGATTGGTAAGTGAAGTGAAAGCTCGCAATGGCTCTTTACATCAAACGTTTCTTTTTAATTAAATCGTGTTTTTTCTCAGTTGCTTCGCTTTCTTCTCAGCAGAGACACGTAGCTTTTGCAGGGACATGAACGGAACCAAAAAGAAGCTAATACCATAAAATCTATGCCTTACCTCTGCAAACAAAAAGCCATCTTTTTTCCTGAACTTGCTCAACTTCTAATCATTCCCGTTGTCTGAACCTCATATACATACATATATATATATATATATGCTTTCCCTCTGTTTCATCCTTCCTTGACATCACATCTGAAACACTGGAAAACAGAGTAAAAAGGCAGCTTGTCCATGAAACCATACCTTGCTTCAACCAAAACAAAAAAAAAACTTTTTTTTTTGGTGTTGCTTAATCGGAACAACATTCTTTGCTTCGTCACTGGGTTTACTCTCGTCTCCTAAGATATTCCTCTTTTAACCTCTCTTGGTCCCCAAGAAAGAAAACCCACACTCTCCACCATGAGAAAGAACACCAAACTGGTCGTGGAAGTGGTCGATGCCCAAAATCTTATGCCCAGAGATGGCGAAGGTTCGGCTAGTCCCTTTGTCGAGGTCGATTTCCTTAACCAGTTGAGCAGAACCAGAACCATTCCCAAAACCCTTCACCCTGTCTGGAACCAGACACTCTCTTTTGATTACGACCAAACACGAGACTATTCCCATCATTCCATCCAAGTGTCGGTTTACCACGAGAGAAGGCCGGTTCCTGGAAGGAGCTTCCTCGGTAGAGTGAGAGTTTCTTGCTCAAACTTCGTCAAGAAAGGCGAGGAAGTGTATCAGAGGTTTCCATTGGAGAAGAAGTGGCTCTTCTCTTCTGCTAAAGGCGAGATTGGCCTCAAGCTGTACGTTTCGCCCCAAGAACCTGACCAATCCACTAAAGAAAACACTCCTCTGGATATCAAAACGTTTTCTGCTGTTGGGTCTGAAGCAGAAGATTCCGAGGAAGACTCTTTCAAGGATACTGCCTCGGTAGAAGACGAAGTTCTTGCTGATTTTGCCACAGAGTCTGCAAAAGGCGAAGAAGATTCAGAAGGAAGGAAGGAGGCAGTTCAAGCACTGCATAAACAAGAAGTTCTTCCACAGCCAGCAACGATGCATTCCATTCGCTTGCGATCTCGTGTCCCTACTACCCGTATGCACCCTCACGACACCAACCTTCAATCCCGTGACGCTGACCGTTTCTACGCTCGTGATGCCAATCTTATACATCGTGATGCTAACCATCCACCATCTGGAGAGACTGACCCAGAAGCCTATGAGGTGAAAGACATGAGCCCCGAGCTCGGAGAGAGATGGCCAAACCCTAATGCTGGAGGAGGATGGATGAACGGTAGAGAAAGATTTACAACCTCGCACGATCTTGTGGAACAGATGTTTTATCTGTATGTTCGAGTCGTGAGGGCCAAGGATCTTCCACCGGGTTTGATGACTGGAGGGTGTGATCCTTATGTGGAGGTGAAGCTAGGAAATTACAAGGGAAGAACCAAGCATTTTGACAGGAAGGCCACTCCTGAGTGGAACCAAGTTTTTGCTTTCTCCAAGGAACGGATTCAATCATCGGTTCTTGAGGTTTTTGTGAAGGGCAAAGAAACGTTAGGCCGAGATGATTACCTCGGAAGAGTGATGTTTGATCTGAATGAAATCCCGAAAAGGGTTCCACCAGATAGCCCTTTAGCCCCTCAGTGGTACAGATTGGAGGATAGGAGAGGAGAAGGCAAAGTACGAGGAGAGATCATGCTTGCTGTCTGGATGGGAACACAAGCCGATGAAGCCTTCTCGGAAGCATGGCATGCAGATTCTGCTTCTGTATACGGAGAAGGCGTGTTCAATGTCAGATCAAAGGTATACGTCTCTCCAAAGCTGTGGTACCTAAGGGTCAATATCATCGAAGCTCAAGATGTGATCCCGAATGACAAGAACCGACTTCCAGACGTTTTTGTCAAAGCCAATGTTGGAACCCAAACACTCAAAACCAAGATCTGTCCCATCAAGACGATAAATCCACTCTGGAACGAGGATCTTGTCTTCGTTGTAGCAGAACCTTTTGAAGAACAGTTACTCATCACCATCGAAGACAACGTCCACCCATCCAAAGACGAAGTACTTGGCAAGATTAGCTTGCCAATGAACATATTCGAGAAGAGATTAGACCACCGTCCAGTGCAATCCCGCTGGTTCAATCTCGAGAAGTACGGTTTCGGAGCCTTGGAGCCTGACAGGAGGAAAGAACTGAAGTTCTCGAGCCGGATTCACCTCAGAGTCTGTCTGGAAGGAGGCTACCATGTCATGGACGAGTCGACAATGTACATAAGCGACACAAGACCGACAGCAAGACAGCTCTGGAAGCAGCCTGTAGGTATCCTAGAGGTCGGGATTCTGGGAGCGAAAGGGCTTCTGCCGATGAAGGTGAAAGATGGGAGGGGAAGCACGGACGCGTATTGCGTGGCGAAATACGGGCAAAAGTGGGTGAGAACCAGAACCATTCTCGACACATTGAGCCCCAGATGGAACGAGCAGTACACATGGGAGGTGTATGATCCTTGCACTGTCATCACCCTCGGAGTTTTCGATAATTGCCATTTGGGTTCTTCTCAGACGGGGAATGGAGCTTCTAGAGATGCAAGAATCGGAAAGGTGAGCTCTTTCTCTGTTGTAGATCCTCAACGAACCAGATTTCTCGTCTAATTTCCATGTCTGATACCCGTTGTGCAGGTTCGAATCAGATTATCAACTCTAGAAGCTCACAAGATCTACACACATTCCTTTCCGCTTCTTGTTCTTCAACCGCACGGCCTCAAGAAAACCGGAGAAGTCCAGATCTCGATCCGTTTCACCACGTTATCATTGGCCAACATCGTCTACATCTACAGCCACTCACTTCTCCCCAAAATGCACTATCTTCACCCTTTCACCATCAACCAAGTCGACAGTCTCAGATACCAAGCCATGAACATCGTGGCCACACGCCTTGGCAGAGCCGAGCCACCACTAAGAAAAGAGATCGTCGAGTACATGCTGGATGTTGATTCTCACCTGTGGAGCATGAGAAGAAGCAAAGCTAACTTCTTCCGCATCATGTCCCTTCTCTCTGGTTCGATCTCTGTCGGAAACTGGCTCCGAGATGTCTGTAACTGGAGAAACCCGGTTACTTCCATCCTCGTCCATGTCCTGTTTCTGATTCTTGTCATGTACCCTGAACTCATCTTGCCGACGATGTTACTCTATATGTTCTTCATCGGCTTGTGGAACTTCAGGACCAGGCCGAGATACCCACCTCACATGGACACCAAGCTCTCTTGGGCTGAAGCCATTGGACCTGATGAGCTCGACGAAGAGTTCGACACATTCCCGACATCTCGGTCACCGGATCTGGTCAGGATGAGGTATGACCGGCTGAGGAGTGTTGCGGGTCGAATCCAAACCGTGGTAGGCGACATCGCTACACAAGGGGAGAGGATCCAGTCCTTGCTGAGCTGGCGAGACCCGAGGGCCACAAGCCTCTTCATCTTGTTCTGCCTGTCCGGTTCGGTCATACTGTACGCTACGCCGTTCAGAGTGGTGGCTCTGGTGGGTGGGTTGTATTATCTCAGGCATCCCAAGTTCAGGAGCAAGCTGCCTTGTGTGCCAAGCAACTTCTTCAAGAGATTGCCGACTCGTTCAGACAGTCTCCTGTAAAACACCAAAACGCTGACAGACAGAAACATGTTTCCTTGTGAAAGTAAAATAATAAAAATGAGATTATGTAACACAAAAGATTAACACTTTTTTTTTGTATTGTTTTCAATCATTTCCCCACCAATAAATGGGTTGAAGGATCCATCTTTATATTCTCTTATGTTCGGTTCAATTTCACGTTTGTAATTTTCTAGCAAAAGATAGTGCACTTCAAAACTTCGATCCTGTTCAGATCCACATGTATATCCAGACTTTTTCACAATGTTCTTCGGCACCGCTTGATTTATTTTCCTGAAAAGCTAAACCGGTATTGAAAAGCTATACCAAACCCAAAACACAAAAACCGGTTACAAATGGTTGAGCAGACTGAAAGGGATAGCTAATTCAAAGAAATAAGTCTGTAACATTCTAAGATATTGCAAAAAAAAGGTTTGTAAACATTGACATAAAACATCAAAACTTTTAGATGTCAAACACAAATCAACCAAAGCTCTGAGTACATCAAATTCTCGGAACCTAAAACTTGAGCTCATGTGGTTTGTCGCCTTGTTTCAGAGAGAACCTGGCACCAAGGTAAGACTTAAGATCAGGAACAGCTTCAATGGCCTTGACCAAAGCCGCATCAATAGCCTTTTGGTCATCCTTCTTCTCTTGCGGGAGTACGTTTTTCTCCTGAAGATTCAACGAGAGAAGTGAATAAACGGGTTAAGGGAACAGAGATTTGGAAGAGTATTGGAATTGATAAGGAATACAGAGCAAACCTCCTTCTCGGCCTCAAAGAACTCGCCCTCTCCCTTCTTCTTCTTCTTCTCAGCAACCTTGGCAAAGTACTTGTCATCAAATTTCTCAACGTTGATCCCAGAGATGTCGACCTTGGTCGAAGTGCCAATGACATAGGACTGGTTGACACGTCTCAATGGGACACCGTTGATCTTGAATGGTCCTTAAAGCTCACAAGCAACAAGTAAGAAACAACAGCAGAAAAACCAGATCAAGAATAAACAAGATAGCAAAAGGGACAAAAACCCTACAACAAAAGAGATCAGAATATGGACATAGCTGCATTTCAACCAAAGACAGCACGGACTTGCTCAAGACATGCCAGGATAATTAGATTCAACTCAAAAAACTCTGACGGCAATTGGGCACTTGCAAATCTCTCATGAGATGATGAGAATGCACAGATAGAAATACTTATACTAAAGCACAGAACCAAAAAAAATTATCTATAAAAACAACTACAGGTGATTCAAAGGGCTAAAGACAGAGAACCCACCAGTTACCAAAAGCAGTCCAGAAGAAAGCTGCTTCAAGAACACAACTCGCTTTCCCTTGAACCTACCAGCAAGGATAATCAACACTGTACCCGGGGTAATGCTTGCCCTGATTGAAGAACATATATTATCAGCGAAATTTGTAAAATTCATATATGATAAAAGTTGAAAAAGATACAAGTTATACACATATATACGCATATATGATTGGAGTACACATATAGATGATTTAGCGCACAACAGCTCAATCTCAAAGATACAAACTTCCATACAAGAAAAAACTCATTCACACAATACATTTTTCAATAATCCCAATAAATCCGATAGCAAAAGCTCACACTTATCAACAGATCCAAGCAAGTGGAAGACACAGGATTCAGCGATGATAATTAAATCCAGCATAAATTGAGAGATACCCACTACTTTCATAGCGAAAAAAACAAAAAATTTACAACAAAAACACGCATTCCACCAACCTAAAATGCTGCCCAGAAAATGAAAACAGTAGTACCTGAGCTTGGTGGGCTTCGGCTTACGCTTGTTAACAAGCGGTTTCTTCACGTCTTCCGCCGGATAGAACTTCGGGGTCTTCTCCGCGGGCGCCTCGGGCTTAGGCTTGGGGTCATGGTGGGGGAATTTGCCGCCGTTTTTCGCCTTGATAGCCCAGAGACCCCTCTTATGGTACATCTTCGATCTAGAGAATTTTCCGACTCCCCTGATGAGGTCGGGGTTTCTGTTCACCTGCTGTGTCTTTCTCGGCGCCATTGGAGGTGGTGATTGAGCTTTTCTGTCCTATTTCCTTCTCCTCCGAGTGGCACAAACCCTAGAAGCAGAGAATGACGCATCGGCGGCGAATATATATGGAGACCCAGGAACAGAAAAAAGAAAATGAAATGCCAAAACCCTAGATAATTCGGGTCATGGGTTTACTCATCGGTTTTGACCCAAACCCGTATATCGTGGGCCTAAATTCGAGCCCATATTTGAACATTAGCACTATTATTATTATTATTATTATTATTATAAATAATGTAATATGTAATAACGCGACAAAATATATATACAACGTATACCAAGTGGACACACAGGGAATGAAATCATCCTCTTACATTAGAAAAGCATAAGGTGTCCGATATTTGGAATTTGAATGTGATTAGTGATTAATTAAAATATAGTTTAAGGATTTTCAGTCTAATTAAGAAAATAATCGAACTCCACGGTCCCCACAGAGACTATTTGACTCGACTAGTCAACCAGCTTGCTGCTCAAGTTTGGATTTCCCATAAAATAAAATAAAAGAAGAAAAAGAAAGCGTGTCCAAGAAGACTGGGTCAGCCCATTTCCTCTGCCCAAACAGACACTATATATACACACATATATAACTTCATTTCCCCACAATCACCTGAAAACACAAAGACACGAACAAAAGCGTCGAAGTGAAATGTCTCTGCTGTCAGCCATCTTGAGTTGCTTCTCTCCAAAATCCGACTCTAGGGTTCGATCTCCAACTCGTAAGAAGAACCCCAAGGTCGAGGATCCGAAGCCGCCTTCTCGAGCTCCCGTCGTCCTTTCTTACTTTCCCGTCGGCTCCAAACTCTCTGTTCTTTAGAAAAACATCGATCGATTTGATGATGACGACGCCATGCAGCATATGTTCATGGATCTTTTATGGTATGATATATATCCTACAAAAGTCATGGGGATGTTGATCATCGAGAGACTGCAGAACAAGAACAAGCCCCCACATTTCAAGAACCAGATTCCTTCTCTCCGATTAGTCCTGCGGGTTCTTCTGTAGGGTATATATTATCCGATTCGGAGCACTTGCTCGTTGTTGTAACCTTTTTTTTTTCAAGTTAACTCTTCTTTTTTTTTTTGTGTTAATAATAATTGTGTTGGAACTTTTGAGTTTTGATTGGTTTATTCTTTTCGTTATTAGATTTTATATCAAATTATTGTTTTGTTTCGTATTGTATTTGAACTTAAAATATAAAAAATATATATATATTCGTTTTGTAGAAGCTATTTCGTTTAGTTCCGTTTTTTCATTTGTCATTTTATATTCTCTTTATATAATCGAATAACATATGATTCGGTTGTTTAATTTTGGTCATAAAGACTAAAGAGATTTACGACGTTTTGTGATGTTTGAGAGGTTTCCGCGTCAACGTTCTCTTCCTAATAAAGCGACACATATTAGTTTAACGTTTAATTTCCCACTCGTTCAATGCATCTACTAGGGGTGTAAAACGACTTCGGCCAAATCAAACCCGACCCGTTTCAATCTAGGAATATTTTAGTCCAACTCAATCCGGTCCGTATTTTATCGAGCTAAAAAATTTAATTCGCGAGTCAAACGAACTGACCGTGTAAATATTATAAATATAAGAAAAAACTTAAAATATTAAACAAAATAAACTAAATAACTAATAAAAATACAATTTTTCTATAAAAATATATAAAAAATAATACAAATTTTAAAAAAAAAAATCGGTTCGCGAATCATTCCGTGGATTCGCCGAGCCAGTTCATCACAAATCCGGCTCGTTTTACAGCCTAGTATCCATCAATTGTTCTTGATTTTACATATTATTTTAATTTATTTTATCCCCTATTCTTAAAGAATTTTGGACATATGTATATAACGGAAACTATTGCAAGCGCTGTAATATATATAATTCGACGAAAGCCATTGATTCGAACAAAACGATGATATTTATTACTTTGGATTGCGCCGATTTAACTCGTAACAAATATCGCATACTAGTTTTGTTTGTTAGGGTGATATTTTGGGTTTCTTTTT